TAATTTACAAACAATCAAGGGCAAATGATACTTCGAAGCTCGTTTCTGTATAAGCCATAGAATAGGCGGGAGGTCGTATGCTGTCATGATCAGATTTTTTATATGTAGTGTTAACTGATCCTTAAATATTTGAAAAAAAATTTTAATTTGCATATATGCATTTAAAATTTAACCTGCCCAAAGCATTGCCAAAGCTTGAATGTTTTTATTTATAAAAAGTGATACAATCTTGCTTTACAGTTGGTTGTTTTAAGAAGTTAGTTACATGATGTCTCCCTTTTACTTAACAGGTGTGCCATAAACATTTTCAACCTGATGACCTCATCTGGGAAGCATCAGCTTTCGATGAAAAAAATGGGAAAATCATTAAAGCTTCACTGAAAAGACCAAAAGGTAAAGGAAACTCCATCCCGAGATTGAAATGTGACAGAGCCATATCGACTAGCATAACCAGATTAGGACAATCACTTAAAGGAATGAGGAATTCTGCAGATGGACAGCGTAGTTACACCAACATTTGTCCTCACTGCCCAGATGACATTGCACTGTCTCGCCATCCCATCTTCAGCTGCCCAGCAATCCAGGTCAGACTGTTTGACATCGGCATTGAAGACCCAGTGGACCTACTTTATACTGATAGAGCTGCCGAGGTTGCAAAAGCTGACTTTGACAGCTTCGAAGCTATATAATTGCACTCTGTCATAGACACGACATCATCATCACAGAAAGTGTGATTCTACCGCCATATTCAGTTTGTAGAGAATTTATGTTTGTGGATTAAAGCCAGATGCTGAGAAAAAGGGGTAAGTTGCCTTTGAAATTCTACTAACTATTAGCTATTGCACTGAGTAAATTTTGAATTTGTTCATAATTTGTAATTATTGATAAGAGCAGAAAGTACGGCTACGAAACTTAAAGATGTCTCTAAAAAGAGAACTAAAAATTCTTTGATTATCATAGTGCAATCATTTAGTGTGGAGATAGAATAATGGTTTCAGAATCTAGAAATTTATACTTAAAGAAAGATAACTAATACACTCCTTCGATTTGCTGATAATACTTTCTATAAAATAGTTGAATAATCATAAAGAACTTCAAGTCAATGAAAATGTTTTGACCACTTTTATTACATATATATGTCTCTATAACAGAACTGTAAATATACATTATGTAATGATTCGTGCTTTTGCTTGAAATCAATCCCGCTATATACATAATGCTAATCAGGATATTTTGGTACATATGGACGTACGTAGAGGTCGTTAAAGTTAATCTAAATAGCCCGTAAATTTTGCATGAAAACAAACAATGGGCGTATGAATTTATACATGAATGTACTCACTAGAACCTTGTGTATGTATATTATGAAACTTGAGTATTTATGTAGGCCGTACATCTTGATCAGTCACAGTAATTAAAGCGTCAAATTTTCACGCTCAGGTTTTCCGTCTGCGAGGATGACCATACACTGGAAGGCATTTACTTAAGTGTTAAGTTAGTGGTCGCCCCTGTTGGCGCACAGCCACCTTAAATTAAAACAACCACTAAGCTATTATTTCATAGTGAATTTTATTTTATATGATTTTTTATTCGTTTTTTTTTTTCACTTCTGATCTTTCTCAGTGACAAAACTTACATGAGATGAAAATGATTAACAAATAAACTTATAGAAATTTTTAACGCTGTCAAATCTTTAAATAAGGAACTAACGCATGTACAATATAGAATAACAATGCAGTCAAAACAAAGCAGGTACTCTATTTTATATTTATTTATTACATTTCTTCGCATAGATACTTTTAAGCTGCATGTTCATTATTCATTTTATTGCATATTATGCGTGCGTATATCTCTACATGTACATAAACATTGCAAGTTCATGTAATATTTATGTAGTTTCATGCTAAGTTTAGCTTTAGAACATATGTATATATGTCATTTTAAAAAAATTCTATGAGCAAACCAAAGATCTACTCTGTAACACATGTGCACTGCGAAAAAAAAAAAAAAAAAAAAAAAAAAAAAAAAAAAAAGGCAGTCCTATATATCCCGTTCTACTCGGACGATTGACGAAATTCAAATTGCGTTTTTCATGTTTCATTAAGCGCGACTTATTGTTCTAATCTAAGTATTTTGACGAAAAATCGGACTTTTTTTTAAAAATGACATGCCAATTTTTTTCCATATTTCGATTCTAGGTCTCAAATTATGCCCAAGTATTAAATTTTGTAAAATTTGGTGCCAAATGTGCGGAGAAATTCAAAAATTTATTTTGGCACATTTCTGTCAGTTTGCGCCAAGAATTAAGATTTAATTCACTTGGCGAAATTCTTAATATATAGCAACCTATTTTCTTTTCTTTTTTACTTCCTTGTACGAAGTAAAAAGGAAGTATTCGCGAAAAGTTGCAGGCATCATATCTCAACACAAATATCCATTTTCACCGCTATCGACTGCAATTTAACGATGCTTTTAATTGACATTTGTACGTAAGGAGAGAATAAAGGACTCTTTTCCCCCCAAAAAATTGTAAAACTAATTTAAAATGAATTCTAAGGATATTTTTCGTGTGTACGTATACGTACGTACGTATGTATCTCGCATAACTCAAAAACGAGTAGCCTCAGAATGTTGAAATTTTGTATATAGGACTGCTATAACATGTAGATGTGAACCTCGTATTTTGGTTGCAATCGGCGGCACTAAAAGTATAGTGTTTGTGTTTAATAAGTGTTTAAGATTTTACTTCATAATTTTCAATACAGACATTTTGAGTTTTAATGTATTTTTGCTTTTTCGCGAAGTGAGAACTGAATTAATTGAATGAATTAATGTGTAATTAATGTGAGAAATACTGAATCGTCTGCGAAAAACTTTTTTTGTTGTTGTTGTTGTTCTTTGCTTAATTTCTTTTATACATCGTTATAGACTAATTATGGTATTTGAATAGAAAATGTGGCAACGATTAGATAATTCTTAAGATGATATGAATTTTGTGCATTCTGAGTTAAAAAATGATTGAAATGTAGCGCTGTTAAGTAAACCTAGGGCCAGAGTGTCGCTATGGTAAACAAATATAGTGAATTTTAAAGAGTGCATTTATTCTATTGTGGTTTATGCGCTATCGACCAAGTAGATTTAATGGTAAACAAATACAGTGAATTTTAACGAGTGCATTTATTCTATTGTGGCTTATGCGCTATCGATGAAGTATATTTAATTCAATCCAATAAGTTTAAATGAAATGCAAGAAAAAAATGCATATAATTTAATATTCCGATATATAATGAGGAAGTCATGTGGTGTACACATCAGATTTTTTTCTTTGTAAAGCAGGACCGGAAAAAAGTCAGCATTCATACTTTTAAGTAATTTTAACGAAGTGCACGAACCACATTCGGCGTTATTATCGTTTATAACAAATATGCCAAATTTCAAAATGCGCCAGTATGTAAATTCCCGTACAACTTAGGAAATTCTGAATTGAAATTGTAATTTTTTCTAGGTATGCTTAGAAATATATCTACTTTAAGATGATGGTTTATTTTTATTTTTATTAAATTTTACAGATTATAACTCAAATTATTTTTGAAAAAAATTATAAAAATTATTAAAATTAGAAATTTTAAAAACAAATCGTAAAAATTGGGCGAATTTTATTTGAATTGAATCTAAATTTCGAAAGGGGAAAGGAGGAATTGTTAGCATAAATTTAGGTATTTTGCATAATGAAACTCGAAAGGCATACGAAACGAACGTGCGCCAAGGTATATATTGGCGAGAGAAAGTAAAGCTCGTGTGCAATGCAGTATATTTGATTTTCACCCTAGCTACTTGTACCTGGCCACAGGTCTAATCCAGTAGTACTTTCTTCTCTTTAAGGTACGATGGCAAAGTATGTTCCTGTTTATTTTTCTTATTGCCTAATATAGGTAAGCCTGATGATATTTAGTACTGATGATGATTATATGAAGTTTTTCTTTTCAATACTTCAGAATTTTAATGTCCGTGAACATTATTACTTTTGTTATGCTTAAGTTAAGCAGAATTATCCTATTTTATTAAATAAAGAATTCGTAGTTAATCTTTTGACTTATGATTCTTTAATTCTGTGCTTGAGGAAACGTACTCATTACGCCTTCAGTGCTAATGCACAACCAACAGGAATAACAAAAATTTAATAAAAAAGAGATAATAAATACATATCAAATGCAATTAACATTGAGGGGTTAAAATTTTGAGAGATAATTTTTTAAAAACTACCTACCTGTACGATTTTTTTTAAACTTGGCAGTCTGATATAAATTGAGTCGTAGAATAGAAACGTGAAAAACAGCGGCCCAATAGAACGGGAAACTGTCTTTTTTTTTTTTTTTTTTTTTGGTGAGCGATTTACAATTGTAACCAATGTTAAAAAATATCTGTTGCGGGAAACTTATGCTCAAAATACATAAATACCTGAAGCAGCAGTCCTTAAGCCCCTAGGAAGTATTTCTGTGTATAGAACAGCTGGTTGGACATACACCTACCTTACCTATGTTAGACATCAAGTGTCCCAGCCCCTCATGACCAGGCACCAGCTTTGGGTTAGCGGTTAAGATTCTCCTATTTACGATGATATTCAGGGCGGCATTTTATTATTAATTGTCTCTGCTGATAGCATGTGGAAATCCTCTCCTTTTAATAAAAGTTCATCTAGTGGAATAAGTTTAATTAAAGAAATATATTAATTTGAGTGTGGTTGTGAATGAAGGTAATTTTCATTGTTGAGCTATGAGTATAAATTTTTTAATTTTCATGTCCTTTATTACTCCTACTGAAGCAACTGTTAAAAAATCTGTAAATCATGACTGTCGGGACCATAGAATTGTTTTTTCATCCATATGTATTCTTCCAATTCTGTATGCTTCTTCACTTTGTTTCTTGACGTATTTGTCACCAAAAACCTTAAGTATCAGACTACTGATACTTTTACCCGAAAAATATAATTTACAGTTTACTGGAAAAGGTTATTACACAGATTTTATTCTTTTATTATCATAGTACAATCACTTATTGGTCATTTTCATGTATTTAATGGTTTGAGAAATAAAAAATAAAAAAGAATTGTTATTTATCTTTTGAGAAGTTCCAACTTTCAGTCCGCTTACATTTTGGTTTACCGCGTGTTTTTCTGTCGCATTTTTTGTCCGCATTTAAGACATAAAATAACAATTACCATCAAAATCCACATGCCAAGCATATAGTATAAGATTAGGAATTCGTTGCTTTCTGGTGCAGCAATTTGAATGTCTAAAATATTGGAACCTGGGGAAAAAAAAAAAAAAAAAAGTTAAAGTACATAATTAGAAATAATGAAAGTCGAAAACCGACATGAACATTCGCAAACACTTCAAAACCAATAAAAATCCATGCCTGTATGTTTTTTATGTGAGGCTTAATCCTTTCCGTCAATAATTTCAAAGCTTTGACAACAAGTACATCCATGGCTTGTGATATTTTGTCAAATTAGTCAACTTTCTCACAGATCTTAAACTGAATTCCTCCGGCTGCACATGTACTTAAATATCAACTTTCTAGAAACTAATTGCTCCTTTTCCCACCGCAGTCTAAATCCGTTACAGCTAAGTTTTAGAGATAAATTATACAGTGGGTAAAAAAAGTATTTGCACGCATACATTTTTGTTTACAATTTATAAGAAAATGCATTAAGAAATACCAAAATTGGCATTTAAAAAATAGAATAAGCTTATTCATTTAAATTAATTACAAAAAATACAATAATATTAATAAAAAAAAATTTTTGCAACAATATTAAAATAGCTTATGTCAAAAAAGTATTTGCACACTCAACTCATCTTTAGCAAATTTGCATTTTTATGCTATTATTTGACAGTCATCCCGCAGTATATAGCATACGTAAGACGACTATAAAAGGAGGTGTTGTCGAAACGTTATCAGTTGATTGTCGATTTCAAATTGTAATGGCACCCAAGAAATCTGAACTGCCGATTTCGTTACGAGAAAAATTTTTTTCTCTACGTGAAAATACTAGACCGTCAATCTCGGAACGCCTGCTATTGTTAGCTGGGCGAGTTCAATATAAGCAGGTTAGAGGAATAGAAAGGAAAGGTTCTGTAATGGTTTCCAACGGAAATAATTAGATCATGGAACTAGGGAAAAAAGGGATATGCTCGCTGACTTATTCCCGAACCGTGGAAAAAGTTTCACTTATTTTTATGCTCCATGTTTTATTGGACATTTTGTTTAAGGACAGATTATTTTTTATCAATTTATGAAACAAAAAAAAAAAAAAATATTTCGTAGAGAAATACGTGTTTGCAATGTAAAATTTTATGCTTATTTAAAATCTGCTTAAAGGCATAACGTTTTGGCGAAATTACATAATTTTGCTTATTCCAACTAAATTTAATATTTATTAGAACTCCATTACGGTAAAGTAACAGAGTATTACATGAAGTTACAATAGGTAACTGTAAAGTTTTTATTTACTTAAGGGTATTGTAGAAAATTGTAACTGTAAAAAAAGAAGGGCAGGCAATCAATAAGAATAATAAATACATTACTCGAAACCTACACCTCACGAGGACCGTCTATAGCGTATCCCGAACATAATCCCTTACTAAAACCTTTCTTTCCTCTAGCTATCCTACTTACATACCATACCTCAATCTGGATATCCACAACTAGAATCGTTGGAGAGGTCCGTAAAAGCCTAAGTTATCGAGAAATAGGTAAAAAAGTAAATGTTTGCTTCTCTACTGTTCGGTATATTATAAAACGTTATAAAGAAAGAGGATCTACATCAAATAACTTGCGCTCTGGACGCCCAAAGAAACTTTCACTGCGAATGAAGCGAAAAATCATAAGAGAAGCATCAAAAAGTTTTGTGCAATTACTTTAATGATGTCGCTTCAACATCTGGAGTTCAAATCTGTGCCCAAAGTGTTCGAAATGTCCTGCACGATGCACACATTTATGGGAGATCACCAAGGAAAAAAACCTCTCATAACTGAACGAAATAGACTGAAGAGACTTGAATTCGCTAAGGAATATATCAATAAGCCAATTGATTTCTGGAAAAATGTCATATTCTCCGACGAGAGTAAGTTCAATATCTTTAAATCAGATGGCAGGAAATTTAGTTTGGAGAAAACCTTGTACTGCTTTTCATACCAAAAATGTGTTACCTACAGTTAAACATGGAGGAGGTTCTGTTATGATTTGGGGGTGCATGGCTAGCAAAGGAGTTGGTAATTTGTGTTTCATTGATGGGAATATGACAGCTCGAACCTATATTGATGTGTTGCGAGATAACTTGCCACAAAGTGCAATAAAATTGGGTATCAGTAATTCGTACTATTTTCAGCAAGACAATGATCCCAAGCAACACTGCCGGTATAACACGTATGTGGTTGCTTTATAATGTACCCAGAAAACTTGCCACTCCACCACAATCACCAGACTTAAATCCTTTGGAAAATTTGTGGAATTCTTTGGATTTAAAAATAAGAAAAAGGAAGATTTCAAGCAAATCTGCCCTTAAGCCCTTATTGAAGAGTGGTCGAATACTGACCCTACTGTTACAGAAAATTTAATTAAATCAATGCCAGCAAGATTACAAGCAGTAATAGATGCTAAAGGAATGCATACTAAATATTAGTTATTTTTTTTATTATTTTCCCATTATAAATTTTTTTCGATTAATCGCATCAAGCTATTAATTATTCAACATAAACAAGGATTTATACATAAGAACAGAACTAGAATACTATTAGGGGTTGTTAGTGCAATCATTTATACACACGATTACGGTACTATCGTAAAAGTATGAACATGAAATAAATGGTAACATTTCTATCTAGCTAACAGTTTTACAATCAGTGATTAATAGTAAACGTCTTTATTCACTATTTTCATGATAACTTTTTTAGTCCCCTTCTCCGTAATGGTGTAGTTACGAGGCATATCAAACCAAATTGGCGTCTCGTCAGCGTTGCTAATTTGCCCCATTGAAAAATTCTTTTCCTTCCGAAGTGTGATGACATACCGCTAAAATGTTAGTAGTTTTCCCTTAAAATCTGCAGGAAGCTTTTGGCATATTGTTGTACGGCGTCTTAGAAATAAGCCCATCCGCTTCATAAACCGATCCACCCATCGACGGCTAGTTTTAAACTCTCGTTTCGGTATTCCAAAAACTTCAGCCTCCTCTTTTGCTTTATTTCTTATAGTGTCGCTAGTCACAGGTTGTCCGTTCTTCCTCCTTTCACGTACAAATTCCAAAACTTTTTCTTCAATTTTAGGGTCTCTTCCTTTGCGAGGGCCAGTGAATTTCTTTCTACTAGTTTTAGTTGCAAACAGTGCCAATTTCTGTTGCCGCCACAAGCGAACATTGCTCTCAGCTACGTTGAACTCTCTCCCAGCCTTTCTATTGCCATTTCTTTCAGGATAAAAAATTACTTTACGTTTGAAAGTAGCGTCATATGACATTCTTCTCTGCTTGCCCTCCATTTCGTGACTACGTACTCTGCAGTATGCAATAATGTGTCAACGATAAATGTAACGGTAAATGTAGTCGAGAAATACAGTAATCCATTGTTACGATTTATATTCGGTTGACGTCATCGGCGAACTTTGCACTCGAATCTAATGCGCACCCCAATTTTGAGTACTACATTTGGCCAAAAAAGATGCGCATTAGATTCGCGTAAATACGGTATATTTTATTTCTTTTGTATTTATGCAAGTGTGCAAATACTTTTTTGATACGAGATATTTTAATTTTGTTACAAAAAAGCATTGTTATTTATATTGTTGTAATTTTTCTGTTTGTTTTGGATGATTAAACTTATTCTGATTTCGCAATACCCATTTTTTTATTTCTTAATGCTTCTTTTTATGAATTGCAAACATAAATGTAGGTGTGCAAATACTTTTTTTACCCACAGTAATTATAACCAGAGCGCACTATAAAACTCAATGAGAGAATCTCTGGAACAGAAAATTCTTTTGTTTTCATAACATTTTATAATATGTAGTACCTAGTATTTAATAAATAAAACTGAAGGACCCAGTATTTAATAAATAAAACTAAAAAATTGATACTAACCTCTAAACGCATGGTTATATTTTTCTGAAAAATAAATCCTTGGATTGAACTTGGAACATTAAAGGCAAGAAAAACCTCAAATCCCAAAAAATATATGAAAATGGTATATTTCGAGCTCCCGAAAATACTTTTGGCCATGCCGATCATCAGCTGGTTTGGTCTAGCCAGTTTCAGTTCACCATGGTTAATAGTAGTTTGGGAAGCCGAAAATTAAGAGCTTACATAGTGAAATACTAAGATAAACAGCTCAGACTTGTGCAATACTAGTGACGTACTACGAAAAATATCACCTGAGAACATTTCATACAAATGTTACCAGCTGTTGGGGAAAGGCCTAAAAAAGTTTACTTTGCCTAGATTACCAGAAAACATATTAGGTCTGTCTGCCAAAAAGGATAATGCCTTTGTGGAGGATTTTTGAAAGAAACTGACTCAGTAATTTACACATGAGAAAAATAACGAAAACACCTCTGCAACTGGTTCATTTACTCGGGCATTTCAGTTTGTGTATACGGCAAGCTAATCCGCTCCGACAGCTATATTGAATACTCAATGAAAAATCATCGCTGCTACATCTAATAATATCTTTTCATTTGCGAAAAAACGATATTTATACTTTAACACGCCTACCCAGACAATTTCTGCTGTTTTCGCGTTTCAATAAGTTATGATCCCAAATTTTAATACTGCTTTACCAAGGAAATTTCCTTACACAGGGTTGCCACTCAAACAGAAAAATGAAATTTTTCCAGGTTTTCCATGTGCGTTTTTAGGAAATTCCAGTCTATCCGCGTAGTGTGCGTTGGCTGTGGTGAGAGGTAAATAAATAACGGTACATCTTGTAGACACAAAAATTTGCCAAATACATATGACTTAAACACACACATATATATGTCTCTCTCTATATATGTGTAATGTATAACCCCCAAAGCATTACTGCTACAACTATAATAGGAGTTGTTTTCTCCACTGAAGACTGAGATTAGAATCTGCCCAATCTGTAGCAAAAAACTTTTTTTTTTTTTTTTTTTTTTTTTTGGCAGGCATTTTGCAGCTAAACGAAAGAAAGAAATCTATTTAATTAATTATTTAATAATCTATTTTAAAATAAATTTAGGTAATCATATTTATTTAGGAGCATACATAAGCAAAAAATATGTGCATTAACTTTCGAGGTAGTGTGCCACCATTCTGCTAGAATGAGTTTCAGGATTATGCCAGAGAATATTGCCTGATATTTAAAGGTATTATTAAGTAATAATAAATAATTTAGAGGGAAGAATACAAATTAAATGGTACGAATAAAGTTTATTACTTAAAAATTGAATTACAATAAATCAAAGATATTGGGGAATATAGTTGTATTAAATAGTTAGCCTACATGACTGATTACTATTTTTTTTTTTTTTTTTATTTTTACTGCAAAATGAGAAGTAAGGCAGTTATTAAAAAGAAAAAAATATTTAAAAGATTTTGGGGTAAAATCCTAGTGTACACTATGACCTTGGCTCAATTTTGAAAATGGTCACCAACATCAAATTGATCCGTATAGTACTCATTATAAACGTCGCCAAATCCCGTACGCACAGTATACCAACAGATCTTGTTAACGGATTCGAGATGTTAAGCTGATTTTGTTTTATACCAGAATGGAAAGATATTTTCTTTAGTTCAACATGGGTTGCACAAGCGCATACGAATCTCTCGATTCCCGATGTTTCTCGAAACCAAAGTTACTGGAAACTTGCTTTGCCTTTCTAAGGGACAATTTGCTCCGAGCTGCGAAAATTGGCTCTACACCAGATGTCAATTTGGAGCTCATACAATACATAGTTCTCCAAGAAAGTGATGATTTTCAATAATGTGCGCACTGACCCAAATTCAGCCCCAAAATAATTCACATTTTGTTGCAAAACAACCCTGTAGCTTAGCAATGACATATCTATCGAACATACGATGGCATTCATGCGACGCTACGATTATTTTTTATAGGTATTTAACGGTTATTCGCAATATTTTGTGAAACTGAACATTTCAAATGCATTTTCCGAATGTATAACACTATTAGCCTAAGTTGGCGTTATCCCAGAAGAACTAATAGTCTCAAAACGGCATTTTGCGCCGAAACGCTTTAAATGTCCGAATAACTTTTTTTAAATTTTTGCCACCAAATATTATTGTCCTGTACTATATTTAAAGGAACTAAATAATGAAGAATCTAGAAAAATGTATGTATGTTTCTTTCATTGTAAATGAATAATGGTACCTAGAGACTATAAATTTTGAATAACATTGTCCTCCACCTGAATTTGCACGAATTTGGAATTTGGAATATGTTTTATTGTCTATTTTATAGATCGTAAAATTTTAACGAAATTTTGATTAAAAACTCATCAATTTCAAAGCAAGCAATGGCAACACTGATTTAATAGATCATTTTTATCTGCAGTGCTCAAAACTATCTATTGGAAATTTTAAAAATATACTGTTTTCAAATATTCTGTAATTGTGTTGTTGAATTGAACTTTATGTGTCGTTAGACAAGAATGTGATATTTAATGTAAAACAGACACACAAAGCTTTAATAAAAAAAAGACAAAAAAAAAAAAAAAAAAACCAAAAAAGAATGTAAAACCCACTTGCTAAGACTAACTGAACAATGATATGATGAACTGAGAAACAATTGAAAAAAAAATAATGGAAAATTTTATTCCAACGCTTAATGCTTCATCGTGAATTCTAAATGTACGCTGCTCATAAATTTTTTAAAATTTTGCTATCGAATTGTATTTGGCGTAAATGCCAAGGAAATGAGGCCTAATAATAAAGCTAAAATGACATAAGGCTCAAAAATGGTAAAAAAAAAAATAAAAATAGTGGTTTAATTTTTAATAAAAAATTGGTTTAGCAGGAGTGAGTGTAACAGCAGAGTCTTAAACTGCGTAAAAAAATCCGTAACAAAACCCTTTTGCGTGACGGTTAAAATCTCAAGTTTCAGATTTATTTAAATTTTTTTAAATTTAATTCATCTTGATGCAAGAGAAGATATAATCCTTTAGCTATACATGAAGTATATTAAAAATTTGAGCCTTTATAAAGTGCACAGCAGCTATCTTATAATTACTACAAAGCAAATGACAAATGAAGCCCGTATCCTCATAAATATAGCTGATCATTTTAACTTTCCAAAACTATAAAACGTACGAAACTAAAGAAGATATTAATTGCGTTATTATCAATAGAAGTTATGAATACTTTACCTGTCTCATTCATTCCGTCCATGATCATTACAGAAATGTTCGTGATACTGAAATCATCAATTGAGCTGAGGCTCGAACCGAAACCTTGGGGAAAGAAAAAATTATAAAAACATAATAATTACAATTTCGAATTGGATTCTTTTAAATTAAGGTGCATAATACAATATATTTTATCTTTCACTTTCTGATCAGTAACAACTAAAATGTGAAATGAAGATTTTTCTTTATTTATTACAGAATATTTAGCGTTTCGGGGGGGGGACAAGTAAGAATTAAAAGAATTATTAAATTCCCTTTTTTTTTATTATTTTTAAAAGTATTAACCTGACAAGTTGGAATGATGCCTATCAGATAAATACATTTAAAATCAAGTCGTTTAAGAAAAAAAATACTTTCCCCATCAAAGATAGAAATTAAATAAGAAATAGCATAGAATTAATACCATGTGTACTTTAAGATTCCAACCATGCATTTTGAAAACAGGCGAAATTAAAAAAAAAAAAAAAATTGCTAATTTACGTGCTCCTAAGTATTCAGTTCTTTTGGAATGAGATGGCACTGCCATCGCTACTGTTAATGAAAGAATGTTTCCTTTGTTTCTACTTTCGGAGCTGACTGTGTGTGGAACGGAAGCACAACTACGAAAGTATGACCCAGGTGACGCATAGGTTCATGAACACCAGACAAAAGAGCCATTATTACAAATTAGACTGATTACACCACAGCTCTAAACAGCACACACTACATTAACAGTGCAATATACACAAGAGATGAGTTATATGTTTTAGTAGAAAATTTCACTAAAGAACTCTGCGCGGCCTATCATGCAAATAAAAAATCAATTCCTAAAGAAAAAAATCAAGCAGAATAAGAACCTAAAAGACCTAATCAAAAAGAGAAATTCGTTCAAAGCATCCTGCTGCTGATAAAAGAATCCTAAACGCATTACATCAGGAGGTCAGAACTCTTAAAGAACATGCACGTAAACTCTGGGCTAATTACTCTGAAGGACTTACTACTGATGATAACTCAATATGGAAAGCCATTTCAAAGTTAAAAAATGCTACACGAATATGGCGCCTTTAATCTTCAATATCTAAGCGAACGATATTCCATACACTTGAACACAACACTTGCTATGAACGCAGACGATACTGAGATACTCACTCAAAATGCATCTATTAGCTCAGCTATACAACAGCTACAAACACACATTCATGCAATGGAGTCCTCGCTCAGAAAATGGAAGAAAAAAATTAATGTTGAAAAACCTGTTGCTGTCATGTTTACAAGGAAACTGACTAGTGATGGAAACCTCACCTTCCACAATACTTTTCTTCCCTGGGAAGTCAAATACGTAGGTGTAATTCTAGATCATCAATTAGCATAGAAGCTCCACACGAAAAACATAATTAAAAATTTTCGAGCTAGTAAATCTACACTTAGCACCTAACTCATTTATAAGGATATTCTGCGATCCATTCTGACATATGTATGCCTAGTCTGGGGTCATGTTTACAAAAGTACCTTACTAAAATTGCAGCAGCTCCAAAACTCAACACTGAGATTACTGGCAAACTGTCCTTGGTATATCCCTAACGATGCCATTCACAATGAATGCAATATTTCACTAATAACTGATGTGATGATCAAGTTATTAAAAAAATTTACACTGATTACCAAGGCGCAGAACCCAACAATTCCGGTTCTGAACTACGACAGCAATTTAGTAGAACAAAAAAGCCATCCTCAGAAACGTTTATAGAGGTTATAAGGTATTTCTCCTGCCTTCTTAGCGTGCCTTCGTGGTGTAATGATCTGCACGCTGGGCCGGCGCGTATTCCAGAGGTTCGTGGTTCGATTCCCGGCGAAAGCGTTGCTTATTTTTCATCTTCTCCGGCTTCCAAAAAATCCTAATATCTCTACGGTGGCGCCTGAACTGACGGGATGGTTGATGATGATTCTCCATGCCAGGATTTGGCGATTGCGTCCCCTAAACCCCTGTCGCAATTTAAAAGGTGATGTATATAAGGTATTTCTGCCTCCTTCTTAACGTGCCTTCATGGCGTAGTGGTCTGCATGCTGGGCGCGTATTCCAGAGGTCCGTGGATCGATTCCCGGCGAAAACGTTGCTCATTTTTCTTGTCTCTCAGCATTAAAAAAACCTAATAGCTCTACAAGGTAGTTCCTCTGTTGACTATTTCTAAAAATAATCACTTTTCCCCTTAATCAAATTATATTAATATACCAGCACTAATAATTTCAAAAACTTAAAAATTTAATGTTTTCTGTTCATTAATTAAAATTATAGAAGACTTGATTTAACTTTTTCATCTGCCCCCACTCTTTCATTTATTCGGCCATCTCCCTAAATTAGTATGGAACTGAAATGAGCCTAGCCCCTCCCACTAGCACACTGCAGACCTCACCTTATTCAACAAGACTCCTCCTCTGCAGCCAATAGCAGACTTGCAAGCTCCTGTTGCTTCCCTGTCTGCTGAATAATTTCCGGGTCTTCATCGCTTCTTCAAATTTTTCAGGACTTCTCTTCAACCTAATAATTTCCATGAACTCCCTAATTGCAATGAACTCTGCCATTACTTCTGAATATATCAAAACTGCTATCTCTCCACACCTCTACTCACTGAATTACTATTTTCTACGAAATTTTACAGCGTTCGAAAAAAGATACAATTATTTTAATGGGATAGGGCTATGCCCAGGATTAATACAACTGAACGTTAGTTCAACCGAGGTTCATGAACGTTTCTGTAATAAGCCATTTGGTCTTCATACTTTGTTCGTGCGGAAGAAGAGAGCTTTGGGCAAGGATGACTGAAGAACCGGTCTCTGGTCGGTAGTTCTTTGAGGGTTCCATGACTCATGTTACTTATCTGAAGACGTTGAATGACTGGCTTCTTCCACAACTGCAGCATTTGAGCATTAGTGACACGATTGTTAACCAACACGATGTAGCTTCCGCCGACTTGGCACCTAGTGCTCATGAGCGCCTCAATGGGCTGTTCCCTGACAGGTGGATAAGGTATGGGTCAACAAATTCATTAGCGCCTTATCATTGTCCACCTCGAAGTCCGGCCCTTAAGATACCAAACAGTGCCTTGTGTTGGATCATCAAACCATACGTTTCAAAAAGCGGCACGTCAACAAAGATGTTCTGCAGGCAAATGCCTTCCATCAAGTGTCACGCAACCTGCCAGAGCGGAGGAATGGGAGAACAGTCAGGCACATCAAACTATACAGAGGTAATGGTGGTGGATACACGGATGTTTAGGACAAATAAATTTAACTCTTATTAAAGTTACAATGAAATTATTGCACATGTAAAGGGAATTTGTGGCCACTTTGTACCTAAAAGAATTTTTTATTTCAAAAAATTTCTTTCCAAAAATGCTCTTATTTAAAAATAAAAATATTTATTTAACAACGGAAAAGAATAGTATACAACTGAAGTATGTATTAATACCCATTTCTGAAAAATAAGAAAGCAATAAAAGCTTACAAAATTTGCCCTTGTTTTTTGTTTTAATTTCGTATAGTATGTGTGGTAACTAGGCAGATATTTTCATATAAAAATCCCTGAAATTTTGAAACGATTTTCTTTTCATCTTTTTTTCTTAAAGTTTAAATTTTTCGATTTCGTTTCTTTTTACACTGAAAGATATTAATGTAGATTTTAAATAAGAAAGTGCGTTCAAAAATTGGGGGAGAGCTGTATTATCTTTTCAACTATTTAAATTTAGGTATTGCTCTTGAAATAAATGACTGGCAAAAATACATTCTACGGCGCTTTAAGATACTTTAAAAATTAGTTTGTTTCAAACAAGAAATGCAGACGGATTATTTTCACAACCGAGTAAATAAGGCTTTCATTCATATAATCAAAACTGCATGGGAAGGATGATATGCGAAATCGACTTAGCGTAAAATCGATATAGTATTATAATCTATTATAGTATCGTTATACTAATAATAGTATCGTTATACTAATAATAGTATCGTTATACTAATAATAGTATGGTTATACTAATAATAGTATCGTTATACTCGTTTTACTACTCTGATAATACTATTATAGTATCGTTACTAACCGCTACTAACCAGTTACCGGCAGTTACCTACTAGACACTAACCTGTTACCGGCATACCAATCGATACTATGACAGTATTTTTACATAGGAAACTGATATTTATTTGTCACCTGCATAGAAATGTCGCAAGCATATGATTTACACTTCGGAGGATTGACAGGTCAGGAGAGGGAAAGGTGGGTAGGACAAAAGGACATTTACCAATACAAAACTACCGAACTTTAATTATGAAAAATCAGGAGATTTGAGACACGTTGTTTTAAAACTGCTCCATATTCATTTAAATTCTCGTTATAATGCATGAATCAGGTTTTGTACATTTTAAACTATGTTTGTCATGTAAAATGCACTAGATCATAATTAGATACTTGATATTTTATATTCTTAGCTAATTTTGTTTTACGCATTTGTGCTCAGACAATTCTGCGTAAGTAAGCGAGGCTTTTTTTTTTTAGCTGAAACGGACAATTTCTCCAAAGGAGATATTAATTTCGTTTTGGCATTTTGCGTCGATTCACTGTAAACGGCGAATCACTTTTTAAATTGTTGCTACCAAATATTTGAGTCCTGTATTACATTTAAAGAAATTAAATAATGAAGAATATGCATAAATGTATGTTTATTTCTCGCATTGTGATAAAACAACGGTACCTAGAGATATCCAGTTCTGAATAACGTACGTCTGCACCCGAATATGGTTATGAACGTTAGAAAAACGCCCCTTGGGACAAAATATAAAATTAAATTCAAATATTAAGTTATTAAGCATCATTAAGCAATTCTACTTAAAACGTTCTACAAATATCTACGACAGGTTATCACGATTCAAACCAAATAAAATTTAAAAACAAAAATTATGCTCAAACTCCCTTCAGTATATTCTTAATCACAATTTGACAGCAACAGGAACACTTTGAGTCAATCATTAATAATTAAAAGTTCCTTAAGAGGATCGATATCGTGATTTAGACCAAGGAACATACACAAGTTGTATCTAAAGTAAGAGAGATCTACATTGCTATACTTTCTAAGGGAAACTAGCTCGTACTGATGTACGCATGAGGAAAACCGCGAAAACCAATTATACAACCAGAGTGTTCGCTTTAGATCGAAAGTTTAATATTGTTACGAAATGTCAAGTCGCGGTGAGATGGCTTCCCCGCAAAGCAGTTTTAGGGTTGTTATAAAATAGCAAGGAGGGGCAGGGTTGCCACATTTGACGAGAAATCCCCCATTTGGCGACATTTGGCGATAAAATTGGCTATATACCATGGACGGTTGGAGAACCTTCTGGAACGAATTCTTACCGTTTTAGCCCAGAATGTTCTCGAACACCAGTCAAAAGCTATATAAGCCCTGCTGGCACGCGGAGAGTTAGTTACGAGTTAGTATGTGTCTCGTCTAGCGAGTCAATCCCTGCGGAGTCGATCGAGTTGACAGCCGGGCAACGAGTGCCGAGTGGGTCGTCGAGTGCACCGAAGGAATCTCTTAGTGTATCGCGGTTAGTGCATTGTCGAGAGAGCGTGTTGAGCTCCGGGAACGACTGAACCGAAGAGTCGGGAGCTGTGCTCGGGTGTCATCGAGTGCATCGCGAGTTGTAACGTGGAGTGTCTCGAGAGTACGTGGAGTTCCGAGAACAACCAAACAGCGTCAGGAGGTGTACTCTGGTGCTTTGCAGGAAGCTGTCTCCACCGTTATTGCCTGACAGAGTGAAGGCTGTGTCGCTGATTGTTCCAGCGTGTTTATAGTAGATCTTCGACGATTATAAAAAGTGTTATTGGAACTGCCCTGATTAATATTGGCTAAATAAAGTGTGTTTCGATACTTTATCAAGTGTCGTCATTATTCACTCCAAATCTACAAACCCCGTACGAACGTGAGGGAAGAAAATAACGCAACAATATTCTGCGGTCTTAACCCTCGCCCACTTAGTATTGGAGTATTGGTGGAGTATTGTAACTTAGGAGTAACTATCTGCTTGAAGCCGTTAGCTCACAGATCAATATTTTATTTGCCTCTCGTTTTTGTTAAACAGTTGTCACATCACAAATTCTCTGAAATGAAGCACTTCCCACAAATAAGTTTCAAAGTTTGAATTATGATTGGAATAGGAAATTAAAACAGTAATTTCTAAGGTTATTCGGCACTTTTATTTTCGAACATAATTTAGACATAGATTTGTTCGAAATAAAGGGATGCTTAAGCCCAAATTTTAGATATTTTTACCAAGAAAATGCTTTTACCTTCCGTAGTTCAGTTCTCTATAATTTAATTTTTCACTTAGCTTTAACTTTAAATATAAAGCGACAAAAATCTTGAAAACATTTCAGTAGTTTGAAATAAAAAGTCGTTCTCTTTTACAATCATGTATCAATTGTCTTCGCATTAACAAAGAACACAACATTAAATTACTTAACAGGATAAATAATTGTCACCATATTAGCTGCTATCCAAATAACGCTTTTAAGTAGCTAATTTTCAAATATATAAAGGAAGGGAACATCTAATTATTATTATTTTTTTTTTTCCCGTAGAATATATGTACAGAGTTTGAAATTATGCGATAACAGACAACAGCTGAAAATAAGAAAGTAATTAATTGCAGAATAATAAGATGTTATTCGGATTTTACCAACGTAATCCACTGGATAATTGACTTTAACAAAGCACTGCGTGATGTTAAGATCTCTCAGCATAGTCAAGGTATCATTTCTACCTGAAATTTAAATAACAAAACGTAACTATAGTACATTTTGAGAGAACTTTCTGAAATTCTAAATATAAAAATATATTTCATTTATTGAATATTTAGTGTAAATAAATGTTGAATGATATAACGAGATGTTTGTTAAAATCCTTTAAACGAAAATAACATGCATATTTTCACATTTTTGGTCATTTTAGAAGCTTTTCACTTCAATAATTATTAAAGTGTTATGAGAAAATTTTACTTAACACAATAACTAATCCATTTATTAATGAGGCATACTGAAATGTACAACAACTGATAATTTTGTGCAGTTTTCTTTCATATCGCCGCTTCGAATGAATTGTCTACCATTGTAACCAAATATTATTGTCGGAGACCGAAGTGTGTTATTTCCTGTTAAACCGAAGTTGAATATATTTGAATACTGCAATACATTCAACTAGTCGCCGGTCAAATACATTCAACTAGTCGCCGGTCAGAGTTCATCAGGGTCATGATGAATAATAATTAGGAGCCTCATGCTGGTAATCATGGTCATGATGGTCAGGGTCAGGATCAGGGTCAAGATGATCAGGGTCCCCGAAATTTACCTAACTGACAGTCAAAGAACCTCTAAGAAGAGGATTGAGATTCTTTGATGACAGTATTACGAATCTCCTATGGTAAAGCAGGCCGAAACGGCTAATGGCAGCATGGACATCTTAGTCATTACGACTGTAGAAATGAACCCGAAGGAAAAAAAAAAATTAGAAAGGCAGCTACGGCGATATAGGACACATAAAATGAGAATAGGAGAATCGACTTTTACTTCTCTATTGGAGGGAAAGCGAATCTTCTCATCAATTTATATCATATAGAAAGAAAGAATATATATATATATTTTTTTGAAGAAAACTTCATCAGTTTACTTAAGAAAATTCTAACCCTAACCAAAGACTTCAAGATGGTCAACACAGCAGAAGTAAAATTCGAACTAGCGATAAATGTTATTAAGGAATCGCAAATTAAAGCGGACAAGTGCAAGAGGGTAAAGGTAAAGGTAAAAGTATGGGGGACACCAGCAATGTACCATAGGTCAACTGGTAATGCCTTCCCATACTAACTCCAGTGCAAGAGCAGAAGCCATCTCGAATGGATCATTTCCCCTTTCCGGCACTTCATCGCTCATAACTGATGCAGTGGGCGCTGCACTTGAGCCCCGCCCTTCGTTTTTATTTGCGAAACCAAGCAAGAGTCGGGGGTCCTGAACTTAGACAGCAGATGACTAATAATTGCTTTGAAATTTGAAAAAAAAAAAAAAAAAAAAAATTAGTTTTTCCTTTTTTTCATTTTTATTTTCCAATTTTTCGCCTTCCTTGAGGGGGGGGGTAAAAATATTTCATACTTTATCTGTAGGATAGACCCTAGGTTTTATTGCCTCTTGTAATCTTTGCGATTCCTACATTCTACCGCTCAATGCTTCTGTAAGTTTAAAAAAATTGTCCTTTCTAAATTCTGCGGCCCAACTCGTACATTTCGATTGCACCAGCTCTAGCGCTTTCCCGATGACACATCACAGTCGCTATCAAATCTTAAATTCTCTGGAATGAAATGCTTCGCATCATAAATGGATTAGATTATCATATCAACAGAAAAAATTCGTTTAGTATTTTATTTTGAAAAAGAAATAGGTACTTGTCTTTCCGAAATAATTTTGTGCTTATGCCCAAATTTAGGACACTTTTTGCCTAAGAAATTTTTTTACAGTGCGCAATGAAGTCTCTTACTTGGTTTGTGGCAGATTTTTTACCAAAACCAAATAAAGCATCAACTAATGTACATAGAATTTTTGCATGCACTATATAATATTTGGATTTATGCTTTAGAAACAAAAAATGGAAAATAAGATGGTAATTAATTACATATTAAATCTTAAAAGTCATTAGCATTTTACCATTATCCTTCATTCTACGTGCCACTAGAAAAGAGCATTTCATGACGTCCAAGTTTCTCTGCAAATTGTATTCTAGATTTTCATCTGAAATAAAAATTTTAAAAAGTTTAACCACTTTTGCGAGGACCTTCTAAAATCTAACCAATGAAGTATAATATAAAGCATTCAAGATTTTTTTGCGAAATTTGTCCGTTTCCATGCATCATAGACACAGACTTAAGCTTACAGAAAAATTTAACAGTAGTCAACGCGTAAATGGCATTTTGATAACTTTGAAAATTCGCATGTAATTCATACTTTTTAATTAACGATTAAGTGTAATCAATTTAATTACATTCATCTTAAAATTCATGGATAGAATTAATTCTTATAAATTTATATACATATTTAATTATAAATATTCATTTTACTCCTCAAACAGAAATATCGCTAAATCTACGAATATATAATTGAAGCAAATATTTTAAATCACTAATAATCATAGAGTAAATCAGTGTCCAATATATCATATATCTTTATGCGCTTTCTTAATTCTGTTTTCTACAGAAAACAAAATTTAAAAAATTAAATTTTAGATACACAGGAATAATACATATAACTACCCGAAAAGTACTTATAAATAATGAATGATATTATTTACATGCAGCCTATTTATATGCATGTATATTTATACGTAGATTAAGCTAAGTATTAGGAAAAAATATAGCACAATTCCTCATTTCCTGCGTATTATTTTCTTTTTGATCAAAACTGCTTCCAGAGAGTTCATACTGAAATTTGGTCGAAATTCAGTGTGATCTTAAGCATTAATTTTTCATCAACAATGGATTTGAAAGCATTCCTCAGAAATGAACAGATGAAAATCAAATTTTAGTTCTCAAGTTAATGTCAGCATACTTCTCAGGGTTTAGAAATGGACCATTTAAAAGACATCTACCAATTATATATATAAACATATACTTACAAAAAATATCCTCTCACTGAGTTAAAGATTAACTTCACTTTCATTTAACTCGTCATGTTTAAAATACAATCTAGTTTTTGCTCATGAAAATTTCATCCTATTTTTGCTTATTACACTTTTGAAATGGAATGTATGCCAGAGTAGCAAATGCACTTAGTTCAGGAATTACTGATCGTTTTACGAATGCAAGGAATATATTGATAAAATTTTTAGAAAGTTCTCTTGTCAGTTTATATGTATAAATAGAGCTTCTGGAAGCAAATTAAAATTTTCAGTTATAAACATTTTTAAAAAATAGTAAATAGAATTTGGTGGTAAGTAATTGTAACCTTTTTTAATGCCTGCACGCCTGCTGCTTGTCCCTGTTAGTCTTACGTGTATGAGCCCAATGGGACTAGCATAACAAAGCAATGGTCTAAGAATGGACTTGTAAACAAGTAGCTTGCTGTCTATAGATAACACACTGTTCCGAGCAATTAAGGGGTTGTGCTTTACGAACTCGGAACCTCTGGATAATAGAAGTGATGTGTGGGGACCATGTAAGAGTATTGTTGAGGATCACTCCAAGATAAAGGACTTGCTTGGCCCATGGAATGTTGGCACTGTAGAACTGCAGGTTCTTTTTAATTTTGGTCTTCCTGGTGAATAGAATTAATTGCTTTGGTCTTATCCACTTTGAAGAGATTTTCCATTGGTTAAGCCAGATCTCTAATGTGTGAATGTAGTTTTGTAACCGTTGAATTACTGGACCAATGAATGCACTTTGTGCCAGGATCGCAGTGTCGTCTGCATACATAGCTAAGGTTGTGTCATGTGTGGTAGGAATGTCGTTCACATAAATATTAAAGTATGTAGGTGCGGCCAGCTACGTGAACGACAAAGTGTCTACCTGTTGGGTAGGAATTAGTGATGTTAATGATGCAGTCTGGGAAACCAAGAACGTGTAACTTGTAAATGAGTGCATCCAACCAGACTCTATCAAAAGCCTTTGCTATATCAAGAAATAGTCCACCGGTAACTTTCCTTGTGGTCATCCCCTCAGCGATGGTCTCGACGACTCTATAAAGTTGGTTTGTGGTTGATAACTGCCTCCTAAATCCAAATTGATGCGGAATCAGAATATTATTGGCTTCCAGATGTGAATTGATTCGCTTTAGTAAAACAGCTTCAAATATTTTGCTGATGGAGGAGAGCAGGCTGATAGGTCTATACGACTCCGACTTGATGGACGATTTCCCATCCTTCAGAATAGGGACAATCTTAGCTGTCTTCCAAAATGTCGAGGCTGATGTCGAAGTTAAGTTTTTTTTTTTTTTTTTTTTTTTTCCTGTAGAGTGTTGCTATTGCTCGCTTTTAAACTGTTGAGTTTGTTACTCATAATTCGTTAAAGTTTTCCAAAATATGAAATCGATAATAAAACAAATTAAAAATTTGGTCTTCCACATGATCATATTCGTAGAAGGATTACGTCATTCAAAATTCGATGGCTCTATATACCGTTGTTTTATCACAATGAGAGAAATATACATGCATTTATGCAGATTTTTCATTATTTAATTTCTTTAAATATAATACAAGACTCTAACATTTGATGGCAACAGTTTGAAAAGTGATTCGTCGTTAATAGCGAACAAACGCAAAACGAAAACAGTAGTCCTTCAGGGACAAAGCCCATTTGCGCTAAAAGTGGGATTAAATAGTACTCAGCTTTTATGGCATTGATTTCATCATCTTTTATGAAGAAATTTGTTATTTCTTTAGATTTGACAACGCCGATTTCTGTTTGCTTTTGAGAAAACACGTGCCGTTAACAGTCATCCCTTTCGCTATTTGCAACTGAGTAGTCAGCTGCACCCACTGCGATGTGTATGATTCATGGACAAGCATGAAAATTCTGTAGAATATGAATCTTTTAATTTCCAGCTCCTTAGTTTGAAGTAGAATAATTCAGAAAAAAGCTTCCAGCGGAATCAAAATTCACAACTGCTGAACTCTTGCCGTACTCTACACAAGGATTTTACTGCAGCTGTTTTTTTTTTTTTTTTTAATTACATATATTAACAGTCGGAGTCTTCTACCACCGCTGCTCTTCAAAATCAGCAGAGCACTTAATGCATGGTACAGCGATTATTTAGCCAAACATCAGATTAATTAGTTCTGCTCTGCGTTACTTCTCATATGCTCTTTCTGTAAAATCCATACATATTCCCCACAGTTCGCAGTTTATCATAATCTTCCGTAGAAACTAGGGACGATGCGTAGGAGATGGGCTACGTAGTTATTCCTTAATTAGTCTTTATTTGTTCCATAAAACGAATAATGAAATTTTAGAACGCTTTCGTTTTTCCCTTTTCTTGAAAAAGAGAATATTTGGATTCATTTTAAGTAAGGAAGCATAAGTTAAGGTTTCTCATAAAAGCAAATGTTCATAAATAGTGAAATAGTTATATTATTTTTAATTACATTACCTGGATCCATGTTCTTTGAAAAAGTAGCTCGACTTCTTCTGTAAACTAAAAACAAAAATTATACTTTTGTCAAAATTAAAGTACATATACAGAAGTAATACTTGCTACATATTGAAAAATTAGAACAATGTTTGAAAAAGTATTATTGAACATGAAAACTGAAAAGAAGAATATGTATTAAAATGAAATTATTGAATTTAAATTGAAATTAGCGAAAGTTTGAAAATATCTGAAAAATCATCTTTATTAAATTTTTTATTAAATATCATGCAGGGCCAAATACGACAAAGTTGCAATCGACAAATCTTGATATTATAGGTTTTAACAAATTCTATAACACTTTGTGAAATTATGCGTTGCTTTTCTACTGTGCACTTTTCAGATCCTAAATGATGATGCAAGCATTTGGAATAAGCATGCTACAAGAATTTATGTCGCGCCGGTTTTTATTCTAAAGCTGAAATTTGATTCTGCAATATTGCATAATATTTATAATTTTATGCCACCTGTTTAGATTTAATTGCATTTCCTTTTTTTTTAATTTTTAATTTTTCTGTAGAATATTCTAGGTTAAAAAATCAAAAAGAAAAATTTAGGAAATTAGAAATTTAAAAAAAAAATCTGAAAGGTTTCAGATTTTAAATTACGTTCAAAGGGGTGTTTTTTTTTTAACGCTTTGTGCATGGCGTTAACTTTATTTATTAAATATAATGTTCTTTGCAGTGAAAGCATAAAATTCAGTTCAATAACAATGTCGGAAAATAATTTTAAAATGAGCATATCTTAAGAATTTCCGATACACAGTTCCTCGCGCTGGAGAATTTTTTTTTTTTTTTCCTGTTCAACGTTGCCAGTCTCGCTTTGAAATCCCCGAGTTTGTTAATCAAAAATTCATTAACGTTTTACAAAATCTGAAACACATAATAAACAAATTCCAAATTTCAAATTTGGTGTTCCACATGCCCATATTGGTACGTCATTCAAAATTCGATGGCTCTATGTACCGTTGCGTTATCAAAATTCAAGGAAATATACATATTTTATACAGAATTTTAATTATTTAATTCTTTAAATATAACACAGAGCGATATTCCTTTGTGGCAACAGTTTGAAGAGTGGTTCGCCGTTTGTAGTGAATCGAAGAAAAATGTCCAAAGGCTCTTTGCCCCTGAAGGACTATTGTTTTTGTTTTGCGATTTTCCGTTGAATCACAATAAATGTCCGTTTCACGTTTCAACTTGTTCCCCACCTCCAGCCACTCTTATTGAGCTGGAAACTGCTCTACAAGAAGAATGGCGATTGCTTAATTCTGCGGTGGTTGACTACCTAATTTAAAGCATGGTCACAAGGTGTAAACTTTGTATACAGATGAGGGGGGTCACATACCCTATTAATGTCCTTTTTTTTCGTTTTATGCTGTTTATTTTCACTTTATACATAATTCTCTTTAAGTCTCCAGTATGCCATTATCTAATAACTTACAAAAAATTAATATTGTTTTCATTTCTGTATATAATTATTGATTTTGCTTTATGCATAAATATATATATGCTACTTTCCTGCCGAATTTTGTGTCAATCAAAGCAGTATTTGTTCATTTTTTGCATTTTACATCTTCGTGCTTAACTTTTGGAAGTGAGTCTATATATACATAATAACAACATTCGAACTTCTGAGCCGATTAATTTTTCAGTAGCATTTTTGCAACTATATGCAAGTGGATGCAGGGATAGCCTATTTCTAAAGATTGATACTACACATTTAACTTTTCCCAACATGTTGCTAGCGTTTTCAGAAGAAAATGACAAGCACTTAATTCATTTAATTCTTTGTTTATAAAGTATTACGAAGCGTAATACTATACGAATGCGAAGTTCGAATGGTGAAAACAACAATTAACGATTCTTGTACGAATGCTATTATTGTTTCGACGAGTTTGCATAATAGGTAATTTTATCTTTCGATTTGGTATACAAAAATACATGACGACATCTTTCATTTGTATTTAATGAAAACACTAAAATATGTCACAGTAATACATACACATCGCAACGGCGAACCGACAGTTACATAATGTAAACACACAGAAAAATTCTTTTTCGCGCAACAGCGCCCTCTGTACTATGAAATGTTCTAACATAAAGTATTCCTTTACACTTTAAAAAACATATTTTGCAGTATTATCCGTGAATTCCAAAATAGAAATCGATGAAGTTTGCGGTAATGAATCATAATCAGAGGATATACAGTGGTTCCCAAACGTGTTTGTACACTTACCAGTTTCAGTGAAATATTGCTTTACACATTTATAAAAATTAATATTTGAGAATGAAATTTTTAATAATATCTATAATTTTCTCTTAGCATAAAAATTATTCTATTATAATAATAATTCTTTGAGGGCGATTAATAATCAAAATATAACAGAAAATTTACCTCACAAAGTCTTCGTACACTTTAAAGAATTCTAAAAGTAATCTGTTAGTAAATATTGTATATTTCTGATAGCATTTTGTAGGATATCTTGTAGCCTTTATGAGAGTTTTCAAAATTCTAGGCATTTAGTTCCCTGTTTTTTTTTCGGGGAATATCTGAATAAATATTCCTCCATGTTTTATCAATCTCCTGTTATATTTTCGGTTCTGTTTTTATGTTGCATTTTAGTACTCTAACCACTAATTTTCTCAAATTGCGTTCTATGGGGTTTTCAATCAAGGGACTGAGATGGAGTTTTCGTAAAGCGTAGACAATTACAGATGTGCCAAAGTTGAACGTTGAGGGCCGTGTGCCCAAGTTCCTTATCCTGATAACAAAAAAAAAAAAAAAAAAAAAAAAAGGGGGAGGGGACTAAGTTGTTTCCAACACCTAAATTTTGGTCGGATAATTTTAATTTATCTTTAACAATATTTAGATAAAGAACACGATTCCCCTTGCCACCAATAAATCCTAACTTATCTAATCCTGATTCTGATATGCACATGACACAAAGACGTCACTACCGCCATGTTTTACTGTTCCAAAAAAGTTCTTGGGATAAGTTCCTCATTCGTTTTTCTTCATACAATTATATGCCCTTCGGAACCCAAAATGATAAATTTTCTTTCATCTTCAATTAAGAGATGGTACCACTGCTCTTCGGGATTATTTATCATTGATTTTACGAAGGAAAGAATAAGCTTTCTATTTTTTGCATTTACAAAAGATTTTCTTTGAGTAGAGCACCTATGTGAAGGAGCTGATCTGAGTACACGTCAATAATTTTAAGGTGAATTTAAAGCTTTAAGTAGAAAACGTTTCAGTAAATTGTGTAGAAATATGTACAGAAATGGAACATGGCTTTTTCACAAATTTTCTAACTATGAATCTCTGATCACATTGAGTTAACGTTTCCGAACAACCTCTTCTGGCTGTATTTTCTACTCGATTTTCTTCTTTATCACATACCACACCAAAGAATGTGTAAGATGTACTAAATTAGTCTTATCCCGGACCGTTTTCCACCCTTATTATGGACAATGTTCATTTTTCGAATAACATTTGTTATTTCCTTGCCATTACAAACCATTTTCAAATATAAGTAAAATATAATGAACCAAGCAAGAATAAAGACGATCAGTTTTTGTGACGTGTTTTATCGATATCTCCTTATATTTTCAATCTTAGAAAAGCAAAATAATCAGCATGAATAAATTTCACTCTTATTTAAAATCACATGGACATGATATGAAAAAAATACCCGGCTTTCTATTTGAATTCATATTCGGCCTACAATGCCTTTTCTACAAATTCTAAAAGTGTACAAACACTTTTTAATATCACTGTATATTGTTATCTATGTTCTCTTTTCTTCCATCAGTACTCAGAGAAATGAAGTGTTGTAGAATGACAACAGTACTTTTTACAAGCGTTTTCAGAAGTGCAGCACTTCCGGAACACCCAGCATTGAAAAGGCATTTTGAGTGGCATGAAACTTAAATCAGTAGATAAAATAAATAAAATTCAATAAATGAAGAGAAAAAATACATATTAAATTATATATATTAACAGATGCAATCTTCTACGTTTGGTTACGCTTCAAAATCAGCAGAGCACTTCATGAATGGTTCAGCGATCATTTAGCCAAACATCAGATTAATTAGTTCTCTGCGTTACTTCTCATATGCTCTTTCTGTAAAATCCACACATTTTCCCCATAGTCCGCAGTTTATCATAATCTTCCGTAGAAACTAGGGACGATGCGTAGGAGATGGGCTACGTAGTTATTCCTTAATTAGTCTTTATTTGTTCCATAAAACGAATAATGAAGTTTTAGAACGCTTTCATTTTTCCCTTTTCTTGAAAAAGAGAATATTTGGATTCATTTTAAGTAAGGAAGCATAAGTTAAGGTTTCTCCATAAAAGCAAATGTTCATAAATAGTGAAAATAGTTATATTATTTTTTAATTACATTACCTGGATAAATGTTCTTTGAAAAATAGCTCGACTTCTTCTGTAAAACTAAAAACAAAAATTATACTTTTGTCAAAATTAAAGTACATATACAGAAGTAATACTTGCTACATATTGAAAATTAGAACAATGTTTGAAAAAGTATTATTGAACATGAAAACTGAAAAGAAGAATATGTATTAAATGAAATTATTGAATTTAAATTGAAATTAGCGAAAGTTTGAAAATATCTGAAAAATCATCTTATTAAATTTTTTATTAAATATCATGCAGGGCCAAATACGACAAAGTTGCAATCGACAAATCTTGATATTATAGGTTTTAACAATTCTATAACACTTTGTGAATTATGCGTTGCTTTTCTACTGTGCACTTTTCAGATCCTAAATGATGATGCAAGCATTTGGAAAAGCATGCTACAAGAATTTATGTCGCGCCGGTTTTTATTCTAAAGCTGAAATTTGATTCTGCATATTGCATAATATTTATAATTTTATGCCACTGTTTAGATTTAATTGCATTCCTTTTTTTTTAATTTTTAATTTTTCTGTAGAATATTCTAGGTTAAAAAATCAAAAAGAAAAATTTAGGAAATTAGAAAATTAAAAAAAAATCTGAAAGGTTTCAGATTTTAAATTACGTTCAAAGGGGCGTTTTTTTTTAACGCTTTGTGCATGGCGTTAACTTTATTTATTAAATATAATGTTCTTTGCACTGAAAGCATAAAATTCAGTTCAATAACAATGTCGGAAAATAATTTTAAAATGAGCATATCTTAAGAATTTCCGATACACAGTTCCTCGCGCTGGAGAATTTTTTTTTTTTTTTTTCCTGTTCAACGTTGCCAGTCTCGCTTTGAAATCCCCGAGTTTGTTAATCAAAAATTCATTAACGTTTTACAAAATCTGAAACACATAATAAACAAATTCCAAATTTCAAATTTGGTGTTCCACATGCCCATATTGGTACGTCATTCAAAATTCGATGGCTCTATGTACCGTTGCGTTATCAAAATTCAAGGAAATATACATATTTTATACAGAATTTTAATTATTTAATTCTTTAAATATAACACAGAGCGATATTCCTTTGTGGCAACAGTTTGAAGAGTGGTTCGCCGTTTGTAGTGAATCGAAGAAAAATGTCCAAAGGCTCTTTGCCCCTGAAGGACTATTTTTGTTTTGCGATTTTCCGTTGAATCACAATAAATGTCCGTTTCACGTTTCAACTTGTTCCCCACCTCCAGCCACTCTTATTGAGCTGGAAAACTGCTCTACAAGAAGAATGGCGATTGCTTAATTCTGCGGTGGTTGACTACCTAATTTAAAGCATGGTCACAAGGTGTAAACTTTGTATACAGATGAGGGGGTCACATACCCTATTAATGTCCTTTTTTTTCGTTTTATGCTGTTTATTTTCACTTTATACATAATTCTCTTTAAGTCTCCAGTATGCCATTATCTAATAACTTACAAAAAATTAATATTGTTTTCATTTCTGTATATAATTATTGATTTTGCTTTATGCATAAATATATATATGCTACTTTCCTGCCGAATTTTGTGTCAATCAAAGCAGTATTTGTTCATTTTTTGCATTTTACATCTTCGTGCTTAACTTTTGGAAGTGAGTCTATATATACATAATAACAACATTCGAACTTCTGAGCCGATTAATTTTTCAGTAGCATTTTGCAACTATATGCAAGTGGATGCAGGGATAGCCTATTTCTAAAGATTGATACTACACATTTAACTTTTCCCAACATGTTGCTAGCGTTTCAGAAGAAAATGACAAGCACTTAATTCATTTAATTCTTTGTTATAAAGTAGTACGAAGCGTAATACTATACGAATGCGAAGTTCGAATGGTGATGAAAAACAACAATTAACGATTCTGGTACGAATGCTATTATTGTTTCGACGAGTTTGCATAATAGGTAATTTTATCTTTCGATTTGGTATACAAAAATACATGACGACATCTTTCATTTGTATTTAATGAAACAATAAAATATGTCACAGTAATACATACACATCGCAACGGCGAACCGACAGTTACATAATGTAAACACACAGAAAAAATTCTTTTTCGCGCAACAGCGCCCTCTGTACTATGAAATGTTCTAACATAAGTATTCCTTTACACTTTAAAAAAATATTTTGCAGTATTATCCGTGAATTCCAAAATAGAATCGATGAAGTTTGCGGTAATGAATCATAATCAGAGGATATACAGTGGTTCCCAAACGTGTTTGTACACTTACCAGTTTCAGTGAAATATTGCTTTACACATTTATAAAAATTAATATTTGAGAATGAAAATTTTTAATATATCATAATTTCTCTTAGCATAAAAATTATTCTATTATAATAATAATTCTTTGAGGGCGATTAATAATCAAAATATAACAGAAAATTTACCTCACAAAGTCTTCGTACACTTTAAAGAATTCTAAAAGTAATCTGTTAGTAAATATTGTATATTTCTGATAGCATTTTGTAGGATATCTTGTAGCCTTTATGAGAGTTTTCAAAATTCTAGGCATTTAGTTCCCTGTTTTTTTTTTTCGGGTAATATCTGAATAAATATTCCTCCATGTTTTTATCATTCCTGGTTATATTTCGGTTTCTGTTTTTATGTTGCATTTTAGTACTCTAACCACTAATTTTCTCAAATTGCGTTCTATGGGGTTTTCAATCAAGGGACTGAGATGGAGTTTTCGTAAAGCGTAGACAATTACAGATGTGCCAAAGTTGAACGTTGAGGGCCGTGTGCCCAAGTTCCTTATCCTGATAACAAAAAAAAAAAAAAAAAAAAAAAAGGGGGAGGGGACTAAGTTGTTTCCAACACCTAAATTTTGGTCGGATAATTTTAATTTATCTTTAACAATATTAGATAAAGAACACGATTCCCCTTGCCACCAATAAATCCTAACTTATCTTAATCCTGATGGTGACATGCACATGACCACTTAAGACGATAATTCCACCATGTTATACTGTTCCAACCAAGTTCTTGGGATAAGTTCCTCATTCGTTTCTTCTAGATTACAATTATATGCCCATCGGAATGAAAAACGTCAAATTTGTCTTTCTTCTGCAAATAAGACATGGTATTCCAATAAGCATTGGGATTTATTTATCATTGGATTTTTCGAAGAAAAGAATAAGCGTTCTACTTTTTTGCACTTACAAAAGGTTTACTTCGAGCAGAGCGCGCACGTGAATCCAGCTGAATCTGAGTATTTGTCGAACAGTTTCAGGTGAATTTAAAGCTTTACAGTAGAAAATCGTTTCTCTAAATTCTGTAGAAACCTATGTACAGACACTTACATTTGAATTTTTCACAAATTTTCTAACTATGAATCTCTGATCACATTGAGTTAACGTTTCCGAACAACCTCTTCTGGCTGTATTTTCTACTCGATTTTCTTCTTTATCACATACCACACCAAAGAATGTGTAAGATGTACTAAATTAGTCTTATCCCGGACCGTTTTCCACCCTTATTATGGACAATGTTCATTTTTCGAATAACATTTGTTATTTCCTTGCCATTACAAACCATTTTCAAATATAAGTAAAATATAATGAACCAAGCAAAGAATAAAGCACGATCAGTTTTGTGACGTGTTTTATCTATATCTCCTTATATTTTTCAATCTTAGAAAAGCAAAATAATTCAGCATTGAATAAATTTCACTCTTATTTAAAATCACATGGACATGATATGAAAAAAATACCCGGCTTTCTATTTGAATTCATATTCGGCCTACAATGCCTTTTCTACAAATTCTAAAAGTGTACAAACACTTTTTAATATCACTGTATATTGTTATCTATGTTCTCTTTTCTTCCATCAGTACTCAGAGAAATGAAGTGTTGTAGAATGACAACAGTACTTTTTACAAGCGTTTTCAGAAGTGCAGCACTTCCGGAACACCCAGCATTGAAAAGGCATTTTGAGTGGCATGAAACTTAAATCAGTAGATAAAATAAATAAAATTCAATAAATGAAGAGAAAAAATACATATTAAATTATATATATTAACAGATGCAATCTTCTACGTTTGGTTACGCTTCAAAATCAGCAGAGCACTTCATGAATGGTTCAGCGATCATTTAGCCAAACATCAGATTAATTAGTTCTCTGCGTTACTTCTCATATGCTCTTTCTGTAAAATCTATACATTTTCCCCATAGTTCGCAGTTTATCATAATCTTCCCTAGAAACAAGGGACGATCCGTAGGTGATGGACTATATGGTTATTACTTAATTAGTTATTGTAACCAATCCTTTAACATAAACTATTGGACTAACTATGATAACAAGTCTGCCGTCTGGTGAGTAACCAGAGCAGTACTTCAGTAAAAGCCAAGTCTCCCACTTGATAGGTTATACCCGACTGTTGCTCTGTAATTTTTCTTAAAGTTAAATGTAATGTCCGTGTGTAAATTAAACCTGTTAATAAATACTTGTTATACTATACAGGACTCTTCTATGACCCTATCTAAAACGACCCCCTTCACATTATTATTTTTTCCATAAAAAACGAATAATGAAGTTTTAGAACACTTTCGTTTTTCAATTTTCTTGAAAGAGTATTCGGATTCATTTCAAGTAAGGAAGCATAAGTTTAGGTTTCGCATAAAAGCAAATATTCTTAAATAGTGAGATACTTATATATTTTTTTAAATTACATTACCTGGAGCCATGTTGTTTGAAAAAGTAGCTGGACTTCTGTAACCTAAAAAAAAAAAAAAAATTATACTTTTGTCAAAATTAAAGTACATAGGTTGAAGTAATGCTTGCTACATATTGAAAAATGAGAACAATGTATGCAGATCCTGGATGATGCTGCAAGCATTTGGAACAAGCATGATACAAGAATTTATATGGCGCCGGTTTTATTAAAAACCAGAAATTTTATTCTGCAATATTGAATAATATTTTTAATTTTATGCCACCTGCTTAGATTTAATTACGATTTTTCCTTTTTTTTTAATTTTGAATATTCTAGGTTAAAGAATTAAAAAGAAAAATGTACTTTAAGAATTAAGAAATTAAATAAAAAATAAATATGTAAAAAATCTAAAAGGTTTCATAATTTCAATTGTGTCCAAAGGTACTTTATTTGACTTTTTTTGTGTTACCTTTATTTATTAAATATCATGTTCTTTGCACTTAAACCATAAAATTCAGTTCAATAGCAATGTCCCAAAATAATTTTAAAATGAGCATATCTTTAGAATTTCCGATACAAGGTTCAGCGCGCTGGAAATAAATTTTTTTTTTTTTTTTTTTTTTTTTTTTTGTCTGTACAACTTTGCCATTCTCTCTTTGAAATCCTTGAGTTTGTTAATCAAAAATCCGTTAAAGTTTTACAAAATATGGTTTGATTTGGTTTATTTAATTATGCAATACACACTAGGGCTATCTGCCTAAGGAAAGGGAGGACTTCGTTGAGTACTTTCTAAGGAAAACTGACTCGTATACATGTTACACGTAGGGAAAAACCACGAAAACTCCCATGCAGCCAGTTCGTTCGCTGAATTCGAACCTCGGAGCGAACTACCAGTGTTCGGCGACTTTACCGCTCGGCCGCTGGTAGGTCCCTTTTACAACATATGAAATAGATAATAAAACAAATTCCAAATTTCAAATTTGGTCTTCCACATGCTCATATTCGTAGGATATTTACGTCATTCAAAATTCGATGGCTCTATGTACCGTTGTTTTAGCACAATGCCAGAAATATACATACATTTATGCAGATTTTTAATTATTTAATTTCTTTAAATATAACACAGGGCGATAATACTTGGCAGTTTGAAAAGTGATTCGCGTTTGTAGTGAATCGAAGCAAAATCGCAAATCGAAAACAATAGTCCTTCAGGAACAAAGCCCCTTTGGACTAAAATCTTACTTTTTTCAGAACTAATATTTTTTTTATTCTTTTGAAATCTATTATTGGTCCAAAGGGGCTTTATGTGTAGCGTATTTATATGTATGTATATATATATTTAGATTAAACTGTGTATTAGAAAAAAATTATAACACTATTTTTCATTTCCCTGCGTATTATTATTTTTTTTTTAAATCAAAACTGCTTCCAGACATTTCATACTGAAATTTGGTCGAAATTCAGTATAATCTTAAGCATTATATTTTTCATCAACAATGGATTTAAAAGCATTCCTCAGAAATGAACAGATGAAAATGAAATTTTAATTCTCAAGTTAATGTCAGCAAACTTCTCAGGTTTAGAAATGAATCATTTAGAAGACACTTATCAATTATAGATATAAATATATACTTTCAAAAAATATCCTCTCACTGAGTTGAAGTATTTCACTTTCATTTAACTGCTGTTTAAAATACAATCTGGTTTTTGCCTCACTCATGAAATTTTCATCCTCCTTTTGCTTACTGCACTTTTGAAATGGAATGTATGCCAGAGCAACAAGTGCACTTAGTTCAGGAATTACTGATCGTTTTACGAATGCAAGGAATATATTGATAAAAATTTTAGAAAGTTCTCTTATCAGTTTATATGTATAAATAAAGCTTTTGGTTGCAAATTAAAATTTTCTGTTATAAACAAAGTATTTAAAAAAAGAGTAAATAGAATTTGGTGGTAAATAATTGTAACATTTTTTAAGGTTTAGCAATTTCGTTTCTTCATAGTCACTGCCAACTAGTTGATCATAAAAAAATAATAATAGTATCTCATTTTTCTCGAACACCTGTTGTAGACTCCTAGCATGACTTACGGTATTTCAAAGTTTTATGAGATGTTGCATTCTAACCCAAAATTTTTTGAACAAGTTTGAAACTGTGCTTTCGTTCTGAAAGATATATATATATATATATATATCTTTCAAATTATATATATATATATATAACAAAAACATTCGAACTTCTGAGACGATTAATTTTTTCCGTAGCAGTTTTGCAACTATATGCAAGTGGATTCAGGGATAGCCTATTCCTAATGATTGATACTACACATTTAAATTTTCCCAACTTGTTACTAGCATTGTCAGGAGAAAATGAGAAGCAATTTTTTCATTTTAATTCTTTGCTTTTCATTTACACAGCAAAAAATAAATTTTCCAGTATTATCCGTAAATTCTAAAATTGAAATTAATGATATTTGCGATGATGAATCATAATCAGAGGATATACAGTGGGTTCCAAACGTGTTCGTACACTTACGATTTTCAGTGAAATATTGCTTTACACATTTAAAAAAATTAATATTTGAGAATCAAATTTTTAAATAAAATATATATAAATTTCTGTAAGCGAAATATATTAATTAATTTATGAATACGATAAATTTTGGGGGGAATTTTAATAAACAAAGCGTAACGGAAAAGTTACCTCACAAGAGTCTTCGTACACTTTAAAGAATTCTAAAAGTAATCTCAAGTAAATGTTAGTTAATATTGTATCTTTCTGACAGTTAGTATTTTGTACGATATCTTGTAGCATTTATGACAACTTTCAAACGTCCTGGTATTTAGTTCACTAGTTTACTGTTTTTTTTTTTTTTTTTTAGGAGGGATACCTGAATAAATGTTCCTCCATGTCTCCATCATTAGTGTTTTTAGTTCCATCTTAGTATTCTAACCATCAATTAATTCCGAATGCGTTCTATCTAGTTTTAATATAGGGAATGAAATGGATTTTTCATAAAATGTGTACAGTTATAGATATATTAAAGCTGAATTTTGAGGGCCGTGTGCTTAGTATCCTTATCCTGATAAAAAATATATTTGTTTCAGTACCTAAATTTCAGCCGGATAATTTTAAATTACATATATTTAAATAAAGGGCATGGTTCATCATGCCATAAATAAATCCTAAATAATCTAATCCTGATGCTGATATGCATCCTTTACAAGGAGACCACTTCCGCCATGTTTTACTGTTCCAAACAAGTTCTTGGGATTCATTTTCTCATTTGTTTTCCTTCACACATTTATATGCCCTTCGGAATACAAAATGATAAATTTGTTTTCATCTTTAATTAATAGATGTTACCAATACACTTCGGGCTTATTTACCATTATTTTTGCAAGGGAAAAAATAAGCATTGTATTTTTTGCACATTTGCACATACAAAAGATTTTCTTTGAGCAGAGCACCCATGCAAACCAACTAATCGGAGCACATGTCTAGAATTTTAAGGTAAATTTTAAGTAGAAACTTTTTCAATAAACTCTGTAGACATCTTTACAGCACTGAAACATGGATTTTTTACAAATTTTGTAACTATAAATCTCTGATCACATTCAGTTAACGTTTCTGGACAACCCTTCTCACTTTATTTTCGATCCGACTTTCTTCTTTAAAGCATTTTATCACATACCACAACAAAGAATTGGCAAAATTTACTAATGTAGAGACATCCCGGGACAATTTTCCAACTCTTATGATGGAAAATGGACATTTTTCGATTAATATTTGTTGTTTCATTACCATTACAAACCATTCTTAAATATAAGTAAAATATAACGAACCAAGCAAAGAATAAAGCCAAGCAAATTTTTCAGCCTCATCAAAGCGCAAAAACCGAAAAGTGACAGACGATAAATTTATTTTAAAAATTGTACGCAAATGCTTCTGTGTACATCTGCATTTACTTATATTCAATTTTAGAAAAACAAGATAAGTCAGTACTAAAAAAAAAAAAAAAAAAAACACCTTTATTCAAAATCACATGGAGATGATAGGGAAAAAAATACCGGGCTTTGTACTGGAATTCAGATCCGGGTTACAGTGCTTTTTCTACAAATTCTGAAAGTGTACGAACGGTTTTAGGAAATCATTGTAATTTGCTATTTATGTTATCTTTACTTCCATCAGTACTCAGAGAAATGATATATTGTAGAATGATAACAGTACTTTCTACAAGCGTTTACAGAAGTGCAGCACTTTGCAATAGGTGAATCAGGAAAACCCAGCATTCGAGTGGCTTTAAGCTTAAATCGGTAGATTTATATTCAATAAAAAAATCGAACAAAATAGTATTCAGTTTTTACGGAATTTATTTCATCATCTTTTATAAAGAAATTTGTTATTTCTTTAGATTTTATCAGGCCGATTTCTTTATGATCTTGATAAAACACGTGCTATTAACAGTCATCCCTTCCGCTATTTGCAACTAAGTAGTCTGCTGCACACACTGCGATGCGCATGATTCATGGACATTTGGAATGCTTTAAAGCATTAAAATTCTGTAGAAGATGATGAATCTTTGAATTTCCAGCTTCTTAGTTTGAGGTGGATTAATTCAGAAAAAAGCTTTCAGCTGAATCACAATTGACATGTGCTATAATCTTGCCGTAGTCTACAGGAATGAAGCGGAAGTGCTCCATTGCAGCGGATTAAATTACACATATTAATAGTTGAAATCCTCTGAACGATTGGCTACTCTTCAAAATCAGCAAACCACTTAATGCATGATACAGCGAGCATTCAGCCCAATGATCAGATGAATTAGTTGTGCTTTGCGTTACTTCTCATACTCTCTTTCTGTAAAATCAATTGCTTTTTCCGCATAGTTTCCGTTGCTCCCGGTTTTTTTAGGAACTTCCGTAGAAACTATGGATGATCCGTAGGAGTTGGACTATATGGTTATTTCTTAATTAGTCATTATTTGTTCCATAAAACGAATAATGAAACTCTAGAACGGTTTCGCTTTTCACTTTTCTTGAAAGGGAGAATATTCGGATTCAATTTTTAACTAAGGAAAGCATAAATTTAGATTTTTCATTTAAGCAAATATTCGTAAATTGTGAGATACTTATATTATTGTTAATTACTTTACCTGAAATCTTGTTCTTTGAAAAAGTAGCTGAACTTCTTTTGAAACCTAAAAATATTATGCTTTCGTCAAAATTAAAGTACATTCACAGAAATAATACATGCAACATATTGGAAAGTGTGAACAATTTATGCTAAAGTATTACTGAACATGAAATTAAAAGGAAGAATATGTATTAAACTGAAATTATTGAATTTAAATTGAAATTAACGAAAATTTTAAAATATCTGAAAAATCATCTTTATTAAATTTTTTATTAAATATCATGAAGGGCCAGTTTCGGCAAAAATGCAATCCACCTATCTTGATATTATAGATTTTACAAATTCTTTAACACTTTGCGAAATTATGCTTTGCTTTTCTGACAGTGCACTTTTCAGGTCCTGGACGATGATACAAGCATTTGGAATAAGCCTGCTATAAGAATTTATGTGGCGTTGGTCCTATTAAAAACTTGAAATTTCCTTCTGCAATACTGAATTTTAATTTTATGCCACCTGTTAAATTTAATTTCGTTTTGTTTTGTTATCTTGTATTTATCTATAGAATATTCTAGGTTAAAAATTAAAAATAAAAATTTACTTTCTTTAAATTAGAAATTTAAAAAAATTACTTTTACAGAAATATTTTTTTATTCTTTTGAAATCTATTATTAATTTATAATTTTTTACTTAACGAAAATTAGTGGCAAACTAGTAATTCGGTGCACTCCTAAGTGACGCCGCTGTAGCGGAATAGTACCGTATATGTTATTTATGCGGCGTGTTTTTATTAAAGATATTATAGCATGCAGAAAACAGAGTTCTAAATTTAACATAATTTTTAAAAATTAAAAAAAATATATAATTGCATAATAATACTAAAATAAAGTCTTCTTTCTACGCATATGAATTCAGAAAGTTATCAAAGAAATTTTTTATTTTTACTTAATTTTCCAAATTAGAGCGAGGTTATTCTAAATAAAACTTATTTAGGAACCCCCCCCCCCAAAAAAAAAATTACCTCTATCCTCTCTTTAATGAAACATAATATAAAGCATTCAAAATTTCTTGCGAAATTTGTCCGTTTCCATGCGCCATAGACATAAGCTTACAGAAGAAATTTGCTAGTTGTCAAAGAGCAAACGGCATTTTGACAACTTTGAAAATTCGCATGTAAAGAACAATTTAATTAATCATTAATTGTAATGAATTTAATTGCCTATGACGTAAAATCCACGGACATACAAATACAATAGTTAAAATTAATTCTTATAAATTATATCCATATTTAATTTGAAATTTTAATTTTACTCCTCAAGAAAAATATCGCTAAATCTACTGATATGTTATTTCAGTATTGAAGTAAATATTTAAATCACTAATAACCATAGAGAAAATCACTTTTTATATATCTTTATGTGCTTTCTTAATTCTGATTTCTACAGAAAATAAAATTTAATAATATTTGAATTTCTGAGCCAATTAATTTTCAATCCTTTTTCGCAACTATATGCAAGTGGCGGACCGGATAGCCTGCATCTAATGTTTGATATTACACCTTTAAATATTCCCCAATTTGTTATTAGCATTGTCAGAAGAAAATGACAAGCAATTTCTTCATTTTAGTTCTTTGTTTATAGTGTTTATTTACACAGTAAAAAACATATTTCCCACTATTATCCGTGAATTCTAAAATAGAAATCGATGGAGTATGCGGTAATGAATCATAATCAAAGGATATAAAGTGGCTCCCAAACGCGTTTGTACACTTACAAATTTCAGTGAAATATTGCTTTACACATTTATAAAAATTAATATTTGTCAATCAAAATTTTTAATAATAATATCTATAAATTTCTCTTAGCAAAATACATTAAATATTTTATGAACATAATAAATGTGGGGGGGGGAATTAATAATCAAAATGTAACGGAAAACTTACCTCACAAGAGTCTTCGTACACTTTAAGGAAATCTAAAAGTCATTAGTAAATAATGTATATTTTTGATAGTTAATATTTTGTACGATATATTGTAGCATTTAAGACAGCTATCAGATGTTTGAGTACGTACTGGTTTACTGGCTTTCCTTTTTTTTTTTTTTTTGTAATTATCTGAATAAATATTCCTCTAGGTTCCCATCATTACTGTTTTTAGTTCCGTTTTTATGTTGCAGCTTAGAAATCTAACCACTGATTCTCTCCAGATGCGTTCTATCGAGTTTTAATCTAGGAACTGAGATGTAATTTTCATAAAGTGCGGACAATTATAGATATACCAAAGTTGAACACTGAGGCCGTGCGCTTAGTATCCTTACCTGATTATTATCCTGCGCTTATTATCTTAAGAATATTTAAATAAAAAGCATGTTTCATTATGACATCAATAAATCCTAAATTATCTACTCCTGAGCATGATATGCACCCCACACAAGGACACCACTGCCGCCCTGTATTACTGTTCCAAACAAGTTCCTGGGATTCAGTTCATACTTTTTTTTTTTTTTCTTCATACGATGAATTTATGGTTATTACTTAATTAGTTATTATTTGTTCCATAAAACGAATAATGAAGTTTTAGAATGCTTTCTTTTTTCACTTTTCTTGAAAGGGAGAATGTCTCCTTCGTTGGAACCGCTTTTTACGAAAACCTGCTCTATAACTAATTTTGTATAATTACCATCCAGATTTTGCAGAATACTCGATCTTCATTATATCTCTTTATTAAATTTACATTTTATATTCTATGTAATTGAAAAAATAAGCTTCGAATAGGATGAATATTTGCACATTCTACTGAATTGTTTAGATCTGGAGAATGTCTTTTACTTCCATATTTTTTATCTTATGTCTGCATAACCTGCATTTATTCCATTCGTCTTCCTATTACTGATAGAAATATTACATTTTGCGTGAGGGATTTGGAATACCGAAGTTCATATGAATGTTGAATAAAGAGAACAAATCCGGCATTCTATCGTAATTGACTAACACTCTGAATAATAAAATTTTAAGAAAACATCAGTTTCATTCACGTGAATAAAATACATTTTCCAAAAACGTCCAAAAAAATCTATCACAAGTGTCAACATAAAAGATCTACAAATATATTTTTAAGTATTTAAATAACTCATAAGCTGAAGATAAACCAAGAGAAAAAAGTATCCAGAATTCATTGGCATATACCAACAGCAAAGATAAAATAGTTTCCAATAGCAAAGAGAAAACAGTTTCGAAATGTCTAAACGTCTACTCTCAAAACGTTTGCGAAAAGACGATGACATCACAAAGACATAAATTTTATGGAATATGACATTATTTAAAAAATTTTCGTTCGAAATTTTAGTTCTGATATAGGAAAGTACACATTAAGTAATTAAATGTGGATATTCGTGTACATGTTTTTAAAAAACAAATATATAAATTTTTTAGGAAAATTTTGCATATTTTTCTATTTTGGTAATAATATTTTTAAGTTAGGAAAATATTCTGTACTGAACATATGTGTCTACGAAATTCTTTGGAAAAAGTGGAAAGTAAATAATCATTTCGATACTTCGCTAGAAATCAAGTGTTATAGTTGAAAAACGCTTTAAAAATTAACCAAGAGGACAACAAAGTACATATATAAATTATTTTGCTAATCGGTTATGAACTTTTAAATAGGATATATCCAGAATCTTCAAAATTAATAATGAAACGATCAATTTAACCCTTGAAATTTTACTAAAGAAGTCTCTGTAATAGTAAAATGCTGGTTAAAATTGTGCTAACAGAAGGAAAAAATATGCTTTTTTTAGTATATAAACTTTTAAGAAAGAAATATAATTTCACAGAGAAAAACGTCTATGACAATGCAAGTCTGTCAAATCGTGGTGACTTAGAGAAAATATTCCAAGTCTGTATGAGCTGGGTTAAAAGTCTCTATTATCTACATACGAATACGTCAATGTCAGAGAAAAATTAATCTATCCCCATAGAATACTAAGATAACAATTACATTTCTTTTCTTAACTTCTGGTTTAGCGTGATAGTGAAGTTAAATCTTCCAAACGTGTAACAAAATTATTAAATCGAATGATATAAGTATTTAGTAAAAATTTGTTCTCAAGACTTTACGAGGCACTGTAAACGATAAAAAAGGAAAATATTTGAAAATTCAATGATTTGCAGTGGCATTAAGGTAAAAAATGGTAATATTTAAAAACTGTTCTAAAGGTTACCAATAGGGTGTTTCACAAAAACGGTTTATGAAAACACGAACACATCACAGCCACTTACAAATAACTTCTGTCAAAACTGAAAATTCTACACTCAAAATTTACTTTGAATTCAGGAAAAGAAACATTAGGGGTTTCGAAATGAAGGTACTCATGTAAACTTTCCGGAATGAAATGTACAGTATTTCAGGAAATATTCATTTAACTTCTAACTTGTTCGTAATTTTGTTAAATCATATGTAATGAGCGTATGTGAGACACGAAAATGCATTCGTATGCGAAAAAATAACATTTAACTATCTGACAATGAATCAAATTTCATTTGAAATGTAATGGCATGAAAAGTAGTACAATATATCTGTATGGAAAATCTTGATGATAATTTCTGGTGTGTTTTTTTTCGAATAAAAAAATAGTTAAAGGCTCCTAGGTTAGTAATGAACTACTAAATTCGGTCAATTTTCATCGAAAACGCCGTAAGAAGTTCTCCGTACTGGTAAAATATTACTTAAATTCTCTAGCTTTGTGACTTCCCTCAGACATTGGCAAGACCAACGGCTGTCTGGTCAATACAAGATAACTATGTGTTTAATAGGTTACTTCAAAGCTATGAAAGAAATAACAGTTGGGTAAAAATTATGGACATTTTCAAGAAACAAATGTTCTCTTATGTCCTTTTGTTATTATATTTATAAACAAAATGCAAAAATTTAGTAAATACATAGATAAAAATGGTAAATTAACATGAAATGTTTACTTAAAGTCTATGTAAAGTTGGTGATCGTAATACATTTGAAAAATAGTTCATATACAGTGCATTAAAATTTTGCACCCCATCTATGAATTCAT